TTCATTGCTGCGCGTGGGCTTTCTCTAGTCGTGGTGAGTGGGGGCTACTCTTTGTTGCGGTGCGCGGGCTTCTCATTGCGGTAGCTTCTCTTGCTGTGGAGCATGGGCTCTAGGTACGTGGCCTCCAGTAGTTGCGGCACTTGGGCTCTAGAGCACAGGATTAGTAGTTGTGGTGCATGGGCTTAGTTGCTCCACGGCATGTGGGATTTTCCCAGACCAGGACTCGAACCCGTGTCCCCTGCATTGGCAGGAGGATTCTTAACCACTGCGCCACCAGGGAAGTCCCAGAGACCAGTATCTCTTATGAATACAGATGCAGATATCCTCAACAAAATAGCAGCAAACTGAATCTAACAGCATAGAGAAAGAATTATATACCATCAAGCGAGATTCTTTTCAGAAATGCAAGGTTGATTTAACGTATGGAAATCAATGAATGTAATACAACATATAAATAGAATAAAGGACAAAAACCACATGATAATGATAATCTCAGTAGATGCAGAGAACTCATTTGGCAAAGTCCAACAATCCCCATGATAACAAAAACACGCAACAAACTAGGAATAGAAGTAAAGAAAAATTAAAAAAAAAAAAAAGAAGTTAATATCCTCAACCTGATAGAAGGCATCCATGAAAACCCATGTCTAACAACATATATAATGGTGAAAGAGTGGATGGTTTCCTTCCAAGGTCAGATTAGGCAGGAAAAAGAAATAAAAGGCATCCAGATTGAAAAGGGAGGGACTTCCCTGGTGGCACAGTGGTTAAGAATCCGCCTGCCAGTGCAGGGGACATGAGTTTGAACCCTGGTCCAGGAAGATCCCACATGCTGTGGAGCAACTAAGCCCGCAAGCCACAACTACTGAGCCTGGGCTCTAGAGCCCGCAAGCCACAACTACTGAGCCCACGTGCCACAACTACTGAAGCCCTCTGAGTCTGCACGCCTAGAGCCCGTGCTCCACAGCAAGAGAAGCCACCACAATGAGAAGGACACTCACCACAATGAAGAGTAGCCCCTGCTCGCTGCAACTAGAGAAAGCCAGCATGCAGCAAGAGAGACCCAACACAGCCAAAAAATAAAATATTTTTTAAAAAAGAAGTAAAACTGTATTTACAGATGACATGATCTTGTATATAGAAAATTCTAAGGAACTCACACAAAAAATACTATAAATAATAAATGATTTCAGCAAGGTTGTAGGATACAAGGTCAATATACAAAAATCACTTTTATTTGTATACACTGGCAATGAGCAATCTGAAAATGAAATTAAAATTGTAATTCCACTTCTAATAGCATCAAAAAGATTAAAATGCATTGGGATAATAAAAAGAAGTTCCAACCTTATACTCTGAAAACTACAAATCACTGTTGAAAGAAATGAAAGAAAACCTACATAAATGGAAAGGCGCCCTACACTCATGGAACAAAAGACTTAATTTGTTAAGATGACAATACTCCCCAAATTGATCTACAAATTCAACCCAATCCCCATTAAAATCCTAGCTGCCTTTTTTGCAGAAATTGATAAGCTGATTCACAAATTAATATGGAAATGCAAGGGACCAGAAGAGCCAAAACAATCTTGAAAAAGAACAAAGTTGAGGGACTCACACTTCCCAATCTCTTAACTTTCTATTGTACAAAGCTACAGTAATTAAGACAGTGCACACAATTAGTATTCCTGAAAAAGAAAATGGAAAAAAAACAGACTAGATAAGAAAATGCAGTTATATAATCAAAGAGAAATTCTTCAACAAAGTAAGGGTTTATTCAGCACTTGCTACATACTGTGCTAAGTGTTCTATCCATTTATTATTCCGTTTAGTTCATAGGACTTCACTAAGTGAAAAATTCTATTACCATCTCCATTTTACCAGTGAGAAAACTTTAGAGACTGTGACTTGCCCATAGTAGTGGAGCTGGGCTTTGAACCCAGAATGGCAGCCTGAGTCCAGTGCCTTACTTGATACTACAGATCTGAATTTTTAGATTGAGAGTTCATGCTGTGTTCCAAGAATAGCTGACATAGAATGATGAATGGCAAGACAACACCTGGTAGATTTTCTAGACTTCAGGGAGAAAAGGACTGCTCTTTGCAGATTGTCTACAGGGAGAACAGTAAGGCTGGCTTCCGAGTTGTCCACAGCAACTGTCAGTGCTGGAAGACCGGAGTATCGTCTGCCATGTTCTGAGGGAGAGAAAGTGGGAAATCTGAGAATGTCATACTCAGGTTTAGAAGAACAGAGACAAGAGACAGACATTCTTACACCTGTAAGAATTCAGGGCCTGTAGCATCCACGAGCCCTTTTTGGCAATATTCCACCAAGCAAGAATCAATTTAAAATAAAGAATTAAAGAAACAATGAATGCATTTGATTGATTGATTGAGGTGTAGTTGATGTACAATATTATATGTTTTAGGGGTACAGCATAGTGATTCACAATTTATAAAGGTTATATCCTATTTATAGTTATTATGAAATATTGGCTGTATTCCCTGTGTTGTACTGTATATCCTTGTAGCATATTTATTTTATACATACTAGTTTGTACCTCTTAATCCTGTACCACTATCTTGCCCCTCAAATGCATTTTGATATAGAACTGATGCAAAACAATTATGGGGTAGAACATAATTGTTAGGTACCTTGGCAATAAAAAACAGTACTGTAACAAAAATAAGAGGCTGAGGAGAAGGCAAAGGAGAAGGTAGTATGAATGTGTCAGTTTCCTCATTTTTGTTCTGGGTCAACAGATACTGTATAGTGTTGAAATGTGTAGATAAAAGAATGACCTACTTTCTGTCCTTTCTCTGGCTCTTTCTTTGTCTCCCTGTCTCTGTCTTTCTGTCTATATACACATACGTATAACATACATGCATACATGTAATAAATATAACATATTTTTAACTTTAGAGAGACATAAATGTATGAACTATGTGTAAAAAAACCACATTTTTCTGAGGTTGAGTGATTACTTTGGTCACACTTTAGTTTCTCCTGTCAAATTTAATTAAAATTAAAACCAGTATGTATAACAATCTCAATGTTCGTAAAATGATTTTTATCTTTCTCTCCTCTTGATACATACGTACACAGAGATAGCTGGGTTATCGTTCAATCAATGTTCACTGGCTATTTCTATGTGGTAGAATTTTGAGATAATTTTTAATTTTCTTTTTGTACTGTACTACATTGTTTTCACTTTAAAATAATCATGGCATTTAAAAAAAATTAAAGGGCTTCCCTGGTGGCGCAGTGGTTGAGAGTCCGCCTGCTGATGCAGGGGACACGGGGTCGTGCCCCGGTCCGGGCAGATCCACAGTGAGAGGCCCGCGTACCACAAAAACAAAAAACAAACAAAACAACAACAACAACAAAAATTTAAAACTGTTATCAAAAGCAAATGGAGGGGGCTTCCCTGGTGGCGCAGTGGTTGAGAGTCCGCCTGCCGATGCAGGGGACACGGGTTCGTGCCCCGGTCCGGGAAGATCCCACATGCCGCGGAGCGGCTGGGCCCGTGAGCCGTGGCCGCTGAGCCTGCACGTCCGGAGCCTGTGCTCCACAATGGGAGAGGCCACAACAGTGAGAGGCCCGCGTACAGCAAAAAAAAAAAAGCAAATGGAGGATAATTTTTTAAAGTTTCAGCGTTGGACCCCCAAGTGGAAATGTCAAGGAAGTGTCGGATATATGAGTCTGGGAAAGTCTGGACTAGAGATTATAAACTTGGGATTCGGCAGCATGTAGCTGATAATTTTGAGGAGTGGATGAGATCATCTTGAGAGACACTTAACAGAGAAGGACAAGGGCCCAGAACCGCACTCTGTGCATTTTCAGCACTTCGAGGATGGGTGAGGGTGAAGCCAAAAATGACGGTTCTCAGAGGCAGGAGGAACAGCTACCTACCTCTTAGCCCTTGCAGAGCCAAGGGCTGAGTCAAGAAGGAGCCAGGCAGTTTTGATAAGATGCTGGGATGTAGTTCAGAGGCAAGGGTTGCCCACCTGGATTTCGTTCCACAATGTATTGTTCATTGTGTGTCTACTTTTCTTTCCCCCTCCCTAAAGCTCATAAGGTAGAGAACCAGCAATTGCTTCAACTCCATTTGGAGAATAATTTCAAGACCTCTAAAATATTTGGGGTTTGGCTAACAGCTGGATCTTTGGAGAGCTGCTGACTCAGCAGATGTTGGCGGCGTGTTTGGAGAGCACGCCTGCGGTTTTTAAATGGGCCACAGTAGCTTCTGGTTGATAAATGCTTTATTTGACTTGTGAGTTTAGGGAGAGCAGCCTCTGTAACAGTAGCTAAGTGTTTACACTTCACTGTATCCCCCTCAACTTGCAAGCCTTTCTCTTGACTAGTTGGCAGTCTTTCTGGCAAGGCTAAACACGTCGACCTTTAAAACCTTGTTATCTGCTGACAAGAGGTCAAGTTTGGGGAGAGGGCTCCCCTTGAGAATAGTGGCTGCTGCCCAGTCCACAGGCCTCAGCTCTGTAGCCTGGTGAGTTTGCCCTCTCTGGTTAATTCCAGAGCCAGTGCCCATCATGGCACTTTCCAGCTCTTTCTGAAGCTCATCAAACTGTGGAGGGCTGAAGCCACGGGCCACCCATCAGTGACCTCAGCCATTGGTCTCTGTCTCTGTCCATTCCTGGACCGGCTTCTGTGTCACTCAGCCTCTCTGTCAACATCCTGGCCTTCGGCAGAGCCACTCCACCTCTAATGCTTCTCCTGGCACCGTGCGCTCATCAGCACCCTGCACTCCTCTGTCCTCAGTGCCAGGAGGGCCACACGTGGCCCGGGGTTAGCAGTTGTTCCCTGTCTCACAGAAGTCATCCTCTCTGCTTTCCTCATCCCTACACTTCTACATCAGTGCCTTGCACTGATGTTTGCATACAGAAGTTAATTTTTCAAGTCCTGCAGTGCATTTAGAGACAGGGTTTGAAGGAGGTAGGCTTGCATGTGGATCTGATTAGTTTTCCGATTTTCTCCCCTTCTAGGTAATACTTTCTAATATTCAAAACAGAAGTCCTAAGCCTGGCTCTGCTCCCCACGATCAAGAACTAGGTTTTTTCCTAGAAACAGGACTACAGAGAGCCCATGTCCTCTATTTCAAAAATGGGTAAGCCTTCTACTTTTTCTAAATCAAGTTCCTAAAGAAGGAAAGTAGAAAGCCTTATAGTGCTGTCTTCTGTTTAGTTTTTATCGTGAAGCAATTTTAAATATAAACCACAATGGGAATTTTTTTTTTTTAAAAATAAAGAATGAGCATAGGCTCTTTTGTCTCTTCTCCACCTGGGTCCTCACTTTCCCATGAGATTTGAAGGTGGGAGGAGGGAGGAGGCCCCCCCATGAGTACGAGTCACAGTGTGGAGCACCGGGACCAGGAGGGAATGGGGACCATGCCCTGTGCTCCCTTGCCTCCCTGGGATGGTACTGCACAGGCCTCCCTGCTTTGTTGCGGGGAAAATGAATGGATCGGAAACCCTGGCCCACAGGATCACCTCCCTTTGAATGGCTGATCCGTTTAGAGAACTGGATTTGCCAAATTTCAGACGGTTTTTATGAAAGCGAGTATGGCTGTAATGCCACACAGGTACATTTTCCCCTTGAAAAGAGTTTTAAAAAGGTTTAAGAGCCTGCGCGTAAGGGATAGCTCTCTCATGCATTTGATGCTTCTTTTCCTTTTCGTGTTGCTCTTATGAGAAATGCAATGATGCGCTTCCAAATCTCTTCAGCTGTCCCTTGTTTTGACATTTTGCTGCAGGATAGATGTGCATGGAGACCAACAGTAGGTATCTGGTTCCCCCGTAGCTCCTCCTAGGCTGTGCGTGGGAGGCCCCTTCCTCAGGAATAGTCCAGTAGCGCTTTAAACTGCAGATTGGATAACTGATCAGGGGAGTTGCTCCCTCTTTATTTTCAACAGCTTCAAACCTTGGGGTGTAGCTCATGGAAGTGGGATTTCACCTGCCCAGAGCCACGTGCTTCTGTTTCCCATTTGTTGGGGAGTAAATGCTTATTTTCCAAATCCTATTAACCTGTTTGTGGAGAAGGCCTGCTTTGCTCCAAAGGTTCAGATTGGCAGGGCCCACAGAAGGCTGCAATAAACACCCCAAAGTTTGGAATGGCTTGGTAGCTTTGGCATAGATGCTTTTGAGTTTGATCTCATCTGTCACTGATTGAGATCGTCTGAGTGATGGTGCATGTCCTCTAGGCTGTTTTGAGTTCCAGTTTCTTTGCTGTTATAAATAGAGAGAGAAGGGAGGGAACGTAGAATATTTTTTCTGTTTATTCTCCCTTTTCACAATAAATAGTGTCATCACAGAGGAAACTCCAACCCTGGCTTTCCCTGCCTCTAACCTGTGAGTGTGTGTGACTGATATGCAAGTCCAGAGACCGGAATGAATTTCCTTGGGGCTTTCAGGAGTCCCAAACCAATACTTTCTATTGAAAATGTTTTGTGTGAGATTGATAAGGGCGGGCTGGACAACTTATTTTCCTATTTGAAGCCTATTCGTCGAGGAGGAGGAAGCGGGGCTATGGGGCTCTGTCCTCTTGCCCTGAACCTCTGGATGCCCACCAGAACCTAACTAAAAAATAATGATGAGAGGTTTGCACTAGGTGATGGATTACATGCTGGGAATTGCTTACTGGCTCATGTCTCATTTTATCTTACCCAAGTTCAAGAAGATTCCCGTTGACATAGTCAAAGTTAAGGGACTGCTTAATTTTGAAGCCCCTCTTCCTTCCTTCTTGTCCTCTTGGTCTTCTCCCTGGGCTCTAAAGACCAGTGATGCATTGAGCCGGCTGCTCTGGAGGGCTCTTGTCAGCTGCAGTGTTCTAAAGCAGTAACAAGAGGTTACGTGGGTAGGTGGAGGTGAGGGGCAGTTCTGAGACCACGAAATACGGACGAAAGGAGAGAGACCAGTGGGAGGTTTTGGACATGCCAAGCACTGTCAGGGCTGCTGACTTACACGGTGGGTCACTCGGGGCCCAAGAGCCACACCCGGGGGGCATTCATCAGCGGACGCCTACCGCCAGTGTCTCTGCGGAGCAAGTGGGGACAAATGGAGGTGGTTGCCATCCCTGAGCACCAGTGGCTTCCCATCTTCCAATGTGTTTGCTCTGCTCCTTCGTTGTCTCGCTCTCTTTTTGTGTTTCTACACTTAAAAATATATATATCTGGAAGGATATAATTGACAGGATTTGACTGATTTTCAGGGTTAGGAAAATGCATCTTAGATGAGTTTGGCAGTAAGAGTTACTAATTGGTAAAGCATATCTTTTTCTTTAGAAATACACTTAAATATGTTCAGCCTTTTAGTTGCCAAGCCCGTGAACTTGGGTCTCTTTCAGAAAGAACCTGACGCCAGGACCAGCTCCTGGGCCACTCTGATCCCTTAGATCCCTCTTCTGTTTACCAAGTACTTTTATTTCATCGTTGATCCTCATGGCGTTATACCTTCCACGCCACCACCGCCCTTGGGGTTGGCGGTGTAAACAGCATCGCCTCTACTTCACGCACGGTGACCTGGCTGCCGGGCTTCTGACCTCAGTCCTTTCAGTGCTGCCCCCACTGCAGGGGAAATGCTGTGTGCAGGGCCTTGACTCAACCTTCAAACCGTGGCCTTGTCCACCATCCAGCCCCTCTTGTGAGGGAGCGCTTGACCCCGGGATGAGACATTGCCGGGGGATGGTCCCCAGCTTCCACGAATTGGTGTTTTCTCATCACACTTTTCCTCATGTCTCATCTACAGCCTGTCACAAATCATATGTTTCTTCTCTCCTCCTCCCCCTGCCCCTCTCCCCACTCCTTTCCTCCCCCTCTCTTTCCTGCCTCACCCCCTTCCCCTCCCTCTCCTTGTTGCCCCCTCACTCCACCTTCTACCCTGTCCCCTTGGACGGAGAGAGCACCTGTCATCATCCCAGCCCCAGTGTCCTTGGGCGTGGTCTGGCTTGGCACACACCCACGTCGATTTCACGGGGGTTTCTCTTATCCCTCTGGGTGGCAGCAGCAGGCCTGCTGTGGATGAGAAAACCATCCTGCTGAGGCTTTGCAGAGGGTGGAGGCAGAGAGCGTTAGCCTCAGAGGGCCAGGGCTGCCGCCTCTGAGCTTTTCGAATTTCCTCGCCCACGGTAGGCACTCGGATGAGGGGAAGCAAGGGCACTGGAGCCAGAGGACCGGATAAGGGACCACCCCTTCTCCTCGCTGGGTGTCCGTTTCTTTATCTGTAAAATAGTGCCAGAACCAGAGAGCTGTGTGAGGCGCAAATAAGAGAACGCATGTGGAGGCATTTGGTGCAGCGTCAGGCAAACAGGCAGGGGGAAATGGTAACTTCCAGTGATGATGATGCCCGGCTGGCTTTCCAGCTGGAAGTGGGACCACAGGAAGGTCAGGCTCCAGCTGAAGTGGACATTCTCGAAGCAGGCGTCACTCACTTGATTGCAGAGCCTCACACAGCAGAGTTTTCAAGGAAGGGCACTCTTTTTTTTTTTTTTGCGGTACGCGGGCCTCTCGCTGTTGTGGCCTCTCCCGTTGCGGAGCACAGGCTCCGGACGCGCAGGCTCAGCGGCCATGGCTCACGGGCCCAGCCGCTCCGCGGTATGTGGGATCCTCCCGGACCGGGGCACGAACCCGTGTCCCCTGCGTCGGCAGGTGGACTCTCAACCACTGCGCCACCAGGGAGGCCCGGGCACTCATTTTTGACTGCTGGTGTGAGCGAGCTCTGCTCGAGATGCATAACAATTAGCTTGGATAACCCCTAATCACCGAGGGCCACCCCAGTGTTTCAGAGAAAGGAGGCGGGGGCGCCTGGTGTGAGGCGCTAGCCCTGCATGCTCTGGGCAGTGTGCAGAGAAACGGCCTCAGCCTGGGGCTCCCCTCAGCCTTCTGAGAAGTGTTACCCCTCCTTGAGTCCCTGAGGCCACAATGCCAGAGAAGCTTGGGTTCGGGATGCCATTTATTTACTCCACGTTATTTTAGGAATATTGAACTATATCTTATAAACAAAGGGTAGCCAAGGACATCTCAAGGAGCTTTGCCTCTTGCTCCAGCATGTCAGGTGTACTGGGTAAAGCCAAACGGATTGTAGAGTGTGTTTTCCCTCGTTCTGAATTGGTTTTAATTCAAGGAGGGTGGGGATAAATTCAAGCAAGAAGGCAAATGAGCGTCAGTGTCTGGGAAATGTACCCGCTGGGTCGTCCTCTTTCCTAGGGTGCATCACGGAGTTCTTTGTGGGAGATCCTGTCTCGGAGGAGGTAGGAAGTCAGGCAGTATGGTCAGACTCTGGGCTGCCCCCCACGTGCTTGCAGCCAGGCCAGGGAATAAAGTGGGATGGGGGGCTTTTTGGAGTTGTGTTATTACAGTCAGTCACCGCTATGCGTTGGCTTTAAATAGACCTCTAATTAGCACTACACGTTGACTTTTCAAAGTTTTTAAACTTCCCCAGTCATTTTGTTGACCTTTGCAACTGTTCAGCCCTGCTCAATGTAGCTTGGAATTAGAAGGCAGGAGGAAGGGCCATGAGGCCTGCGGCGTCCCATGGGCTGCCGAGGTTCCTGGGTTTATGGCCTCAGAGAAACAGTAGCAGCAGACAGGCTCCCACAGGCCCTGTTGGGGTGGGAGGGAGTGGGGGGGTGCCGGCCAGGCCGCGAGGGGGCTTGGCTCCATGCACTGGCCTCCCCAGGCACTGGAACGACTTGGCCTTGTCCTCTGCATTCTTGCCTTCAGTACGTCTTCCTTCTGGCGGTGATAGAAGTGGTTGCTTTTTCAACTGCCCCCTGCTTTTTACATTAGGAGTCAAATGCAAGGAACATGAGAAAATTCAGACACATTTCCAGGAAGCGTTTCGTGTGTATCAACTTTTTGTACATGACATTTCTCGAGAGATTCAGAGAGTAAAAAGAAATGAGCCTGCACTGTGGGAGATAGTAGGAGAAAAGAAAAAGGGTAAGATGTGAAAATAAGTAACTTTATAGGCGACAGTATGGTTGTATAAAAGAGTAAACAATGCAAGAACACCTAATAATCACTTTAACTGAGCTGAGGTTTCCAGGCCCGTTCATTTATTCAGTAAAGTATTTATGCATGCATTTAATGAGGACTAATTGCATAGGAGCCAG